TCTTCCCCCTCCTCCTCTCCCCCTCCCCCTTCTCCTCCACCACCTCCTCCTCCTCCTCCTCCTCCTCCTCCTTCCCCTTCCCCTTCCCTTTCCCCTCCCCCTCCCTCTCCTTCCCCTTCCTCTTTGCCAGCATCTTCTTCTTCTTTGTCATCTCTCCCTTCTTCTTCTTCTTCTTCTTCTTCTTCTTCTTCTTCTTCTTCTTCTTCATCATTTGCCTCCTCTAGTTTGCCTTCTTCTTCCCCTTCTTCTACCTCATTTTCGTTTTTGCCTTGCCGACACCCTGCACGCCGGCTGGGATCGGCCCCTCCTTTATCTTCTTTGTCCATATTGGGACGTCAGCAGATTCGTTCATTCTCTCCTCCTCCCAGTTCCCCTTCCTCTCGACGTCGTGTGTTGATGCTAATCTGCCAGGTTCTTTGTCTTACCGACAGCCTGCTCTGCCGCGTCGACAGCGTTCATCAATCACACGTCGACCGCGTCAGATCAGACCTGGCTTTCCAGTGGTGCCCCTTGGCTGTGCCCCTTGGCTGTGGAACTTCCTCATCTATGCCATCACCATTATATCAATCTAATCTATTGCTGCCGCTGCCGCCGCCGCCGTCTGTGACGAAGGGTGTCCAAAATCTTCCTAATTGTACACATCCCTATCACCCAGATACTCGTTGTCCCTTTTGTGCGCAAGGACGCTATCAGGACTGCATGATGCCGCACTGTGAAGAACGTCCTGCTGTTTTTTTGACATGTGGACAGCATGTCCTTTGTCAGGACTGTTTTGATGGGATGGGATGGTCCACGTGCTAGCCGTCCTGCTGAATGCTGTGCTGAAGTAGCTCTTCCTGATGGGTATCCTTGTGAACATCCACGTCATCATCCTCAGCGTGCCTGTCCTATCTGGTCGGGGTGGGGGCTCCTCTTCCTGACTGGTCAGTAGAATCAAGAAGCAGGTCAGGAGCAACACTAATTGTATTGTAAGACAGATAAAGCTTTCGACACTACCAACAGATACGGATTTGAAGAAAGAAGAAAGATTTTAACGACAAAAAAAAAAAAAGAACAAAGTGCTGAAGAAGAAAAAAAAAAAGAAAAGAAGAAAAAAATATGTTGAACTTTGTTGTGACAGTGGCAATTGGTTTATCTGTGGGATGTGGCATTTGTTTGTTTGACAGATAGGCCTTCTTCCTCTTCCCTTGTCCTTTCTTTGACTTGGATCTTTCTCTTGCCTCTGTGAGGTTCGGTTTCCTCCTCTTTTTCTTTACCTCTTTGCCTTTTGGCTGCGTGCAAGTGGGTCCTTGTGACACACGGAGATGGGGCCGACAGCGCTCAACCTGTCATCCACGTGGCTGGTCTTGTACGTAAGAGGTGATGAACAGGCGGAGCTTTCCTACCTTACTTCTTTCCTTTTTTTGTTTTGCCCTTTTCCGCCTTTGCGCTCCGATTCACAGTGTGACAATATATTACGTCTCCCGACTCCTGAAGCACTTCCTCCTCAAGATTCTCCTCGACATTCAAAGTAGTCATCGAACTAACCCACGGAACGTATTTCAATCGATCCGTATTTATTTCCACAGGTCACGCTCTTCCTCCCCCATCCTCTCTCTCTCTCTCTCTCTCGCTCCCACAGGTCACGCTCTTTCTCCCCCATCCTCTCTCTCTCGCTCGCTCGCTCCCACAGGTCACGCTCTTCCTCCCCCATCCTCTCTCTCTCCCTGTCTCTCTCTCTCTCTCTCTCTCTCTCTCTCTCTCTCTCTCTCTCTCTCTCTCTCTCTCTCTCTCTCTCTCTCTCTCTCTCTCT